ATTAGGAAGGGTAAGGCCAAGTGGGAGAGGTATGGTACCTCGGCCAACTATGGTAGAAAAAGAACCATCAGCTAGTCTTACCTTATCTCTCCCAGAGAGAAGGTTATATGTCTGAAACAAATTTGACTTACCGGTCATGTGGTTTGAGGCTCCGGAGTCAATAATCCAAGGAGAGCTAGTGGTATGAGATGACACATGGAAGGCAGTGGCAGCATTACCTGATGTAGACGCAAACGAGGTAAAGGGAGTAGGACCATAATCCATCTGGCGGAGAGTCTTACCAATACAATTCCAAATGTTCACGAAAGGAGTTGATAATATCTTCCTTAGGGTCAGAACTGGGATGCCTCTCCTGAGTTGATAATATTTACGCAAGTGCAAACAAAACTTGCACTGCAAAGAAACTAAGTGTAAAGAGAAAGCAGTGTTGAGAGAACACCTCAAGATGCCATAAAAATAATGTAGAAATTTATCATATGAAAATCAGTTGCACTTAGAAGCATCACTCAATTGTGGAAATTGGTCGGATTTCTGCCATATGAGGAAACTCATTAGATAACTAAAGAGGTTTTTCCATTGATAGAGCATTTTACGAGACTTCTTGTAGGTTGCAGAGAATGGAGTATCCTCCTATTGAGAAATCAGGACCTTCCAATATTAGAAAAGAGTTCAGAGATAGCTTTGGTGCTAGAGGGTGGGCCTTGGCAATGGTTGTGTTTCTGTTGCTAGATTGCGACCTGGGTGGCCATGGTTTAAATCTTGGAAACAGCTTTTCTATGTATCTGCAGGGGTAAGGCTGTGTACATCTGTCACTCCCCAGACCCTTCATTGACAGGAGCCTCGTGCACTGAGCTGCCCTTTTTGGATAGTTTTGGTGCTACAGTTTTTGTATTCTGTGAATCACAAAGAGGATGTTCCTGTATAAGAGAAGATCACTTTCTCCAGGGACCAATTTTTGTCATTTCCTAGAAGTGAAGAAGAGGGATGGGGGAGCTTCCTTTTCTGTCCTTGAGTAGACAACTCGAGGAAAAAGGGCTTGGTCTATGTTCTCATTCTATGATGGAATAAGAGCTTTGGCTACTAAATTGAACAGCCCATTCAAATGGATGCCAATAGTTTTGCACAATGCTAAGTATTCTCTCATTGGACAAAATTTCAAGTATGGGACATGGCAGATTGTCCATGCTACAATGAGAATGTTGCCTTGTCTAGCATCCAATGATCAGTGCTCCTAGAAACAAGATTAAATGAGGACTTGGGCACTTTAATTGTTCCCCCAAGCTGAGCAAGGTATTTTGTCTTGTATCATTTTATCAGGTTATGGTCATTTGGACATGCACCCAAGCTCTTCTGAGTGATTATCATTAATCGTGGCTGTAGCCTGCAGGTATCTTCCTCCAAGCAACTGAGTAGGACCAACTCTACACATTGAAGCCATCTCAATGGCCCCAAGTGTCATGATATTGGAAATAGAATAAAGGAAGAACTAGGATGCAATAGTGATGATATATGCCCACTCGTCATTTCAAACTCAAGATAAAGTTTTCCCTAACCAAAAGGGAATTTATACATAATGAGTATATTGAGTAGAAGTTAAATATTTGGGCCACAAGCCCATACCATATCCATATCCTTACTATTCATGGCCCCAATCTTTAGTGGGTTCTCTTCTTGCAAGCCCACTACCCACAACCTAGAATCTCCCTCCCCCTGGCACAAACCCCCTTCTTGATAAACATGCAAGTTGTAACACCACCCCTTCACAAATCACAACAAATGATATCACCACCAAAATGCTATGGAACTTCGACATCTCAACTTAACCTCAATCCAATTGCTTGGAAATTGCATATCATCTGAATCTAAGCTGGTTTCATGACTCTAATTTGTTTCAACCACAATTTCCATGCTAACAGTACGAGAGAAGATAATAACATGAAATCTGTCTAACAAATGCAAACCTAATCCATTCATGATTTTGCTCTAACATTAAGCTTGATCACTATCTCAAAATATTTACAATGTTTTCGTACTTAGATTCTAACATTAAGGAATTATCATCAACGTCAAAGCCTTGTCCCAACTATATAGGGTCGGCTACATGAATCTTGTTTCACCATTCCGTTCTGTTCAGTGCCACCACATCCATTGTTAAGTTACGAGCAAATCAAATTAACGAAACAATATCAATAAAATAGATAGAAAATAAAAAACGGTAAAACCGTGTGTGTTTTTTTATCAATAAAACCGTGTATGTTTATTTTGGCAAAAATAACACTACAGAGACACAGCCACATAGAGGGGGAAATCAAAAGAGAAATTTAAACATAAAGCTCTCAAAATCTATGGTATATGACACACCCACACACAAAAAGAAATTAGATAGAAGATTCCCAATATTAACATAAAGAATAAATATGAGGCCGACACAGGATTCAGTTACATAATATCAATAAACCCATAAACAGAATTGAATCACACGAACAGAATAGAGAAAGAAAAGAAAAGAATATTCTTAAATGTAGATTAGGGGAGATAAGAAGAAAAAGAAGGAAGATGCCGATTCTTAACATAAAGAAGCAAATGTAACGCCAAACCAGGATTCATTACAAATTATCAATAAAACTCATAAACAGTGCTGAATCACACTTATAATTTATAAAAGGATGAGGGGGAGGGGAAAGAGAGAAAAGATGCCTGTATATACCCAAAAGAGATGAAAGCTTTTGGATTGATTGAGGAGAAGCCGGAATTCCCGAAGACGTAAACGTCTTTTTACACAAGTCGTAGATAGCCTGAACAGAAGAGTTTTTCGTCATGCTAACGTGCCTATTATGTGCTTGCAACTCAACTTACCCACTCGAGAGATGCTGATAACTCCTGCTCACTTCAAAGCGATTTCCTGGATTGCTCGATGAAAACGACAATCAGAATCAATAAGCAAAGGAAACTTGTTTCTGGCCCATAGAAAAGTTTCGAACAAAATTTGTTGAGGAATATGCGTTTGGGAACGTTTACAGACGAGAGGCCATAGGATCTTTGCTTACGGTTCCCCGAGACGAAGTGATGTCAGTCGTTGATCAGATAGACTGTCAAGTCAAGTTCATCATTTCACTTGATCATGTTAATGGGTTTTTTGCGGATCTCCTTAATCATAAGCTACTCTGATAAACTGAACCATGGATGTGACGCTGACGCACGCACGTCTTGCAACAAATAGATCGTCGTTATGGTTCGGCTGAAGAGCACCATTGATTCTTCTGCACTATCAGGCGCACCGCGCACGTAGGAGCTTTATAAAGCTGAGCCTTGTCTCCAGTGTCCATTGCGAGGGCCTGGCTTCAGCGTCGATTGAGCTTCGTTGTGACTTGTGAGCCGCTTCGAATAAGCAAACAAAACTCTAGGATCCGTTTGGGAGGGCTTCTGTGTTGATTGAGCCGCTTTAGAGAAGCTATACTGCCGGTTTCAGAAAAGGCTGCAACTTGGGCCGGGTTGGTCCGAATCCAACCCAAACCCAACCCAAGGGTGAATGCTCGGGGTTATGGTTAGGATTGAAATTCATGAACCTAACTTCATTTTGGGTTGGGTTAGGGTTGACCCTTGGGGTAACTTGACCCAATCCAAACCTGACTCTAATACATAATATATATAAATATTTGTTATATAGCATACCTTGATTTGTTTAGATGCATGAAAGTTGTATAACCCCCATCATATACTATCATATATCTTTTAAGATAATCACTTCACTTAATATTATGGTTCTAGGCTAAACCCGACCCTCTAATCCCAACCGACATATTATTGGCAAAAATATAAACTTTTGTATATTAGGTGTTGAATTTAATAATATTTTGATTTTGATGTGAAGAATAATTGATAGGTTATGTGTTTTTTATGTCTTAATCAAATATTTGGAAACTTTGTTGTTTATTTATGTTACTTTACTTATTTATTAGTTATATATGTCAAGAAATAATAGGAAATTAGATGTGAGTTTTAAACCCTATCACCCATCCTTGAATGTGGGGTTGAGAAGAGTTTTACATTTTCATTTGCAGGGAGGGTTTGGATTCTCAAGATCCAACCCACTATGGGTTTTGCTTGGGTACGGGTTGGGAGGTAGGTAGAATCTATAATTTATAAAACCTTTCTTGAATCCACTCCGTTGCCATCCCTACTTGGGCTAGGCTTGGACTTGGGCATATTGATCTTTGTAGTTCAATTTCCATGTAAAATAGATTGATAATATATAGATATGTACAACATAAAATGTTGGGAAGGCTTAGATTGCATTAGATCAGTACCCAAGGCCTCAACCTAAGCCTATTCCGAGTTTAGTTAGGCCTAAGCTTTTTAGCATGAAGTTCAAACACTCAAAACTAACCTATGCAAAAGTTTTGGTTGAGTAGGTTTGGGCTTGGGCCTTGGATTGGGTCCACCCAACTTTCACCCTTAGCTCCTTTTGCCTTAATTTATTTTAACAAAGCCCATGTATCGCATGGGTCCTCGCTAGTAATAAACTAATAATTTCAAACACTTATTTTTTTCTGAATTTTGTACTAAAAGAATTAATAAAAAATCAACAAACAAATACTAATAAAACATAGGATTAATATATGTAGTAAAAGTTGAATTAAGATTTGAGATTGAGAAATTCTACGAGATTTTAAGAGATGGGAAGAAGGTTGGGTTAGAGTTGAAGGAATTTAGTTAAGCTTGGGTAGGTCAGATTGAAGGTTGGGTTGGGTGTTTAGAACTTAGGGTTGGCCTCAATGACCTGACATAACCTGGCCCGACTTGCAGCCTTAGTTTCCGAGGACTTATGGGATGTGGCTCTTGGTGTTTTGAGTTAGGCCCATACATGAATGCCCTTGGTAAAAATCTAAAAAGCTAGCATGGGCTTTTTGGGTTTTTACCAAACATTGCTTAAGTAGGTGTTTGGCATTGGTGCAGGGAACAGCTCACCATTTTCTGAGAATAATGATTATGAACATGTGGAGTTATAAAACAATGCTTATTTTTTGTTTGGAACCGGTGCTGCCACATAAGTTGTTTTATGAGAAAACAACACTGGTTTTGTTTGGTACCAGTGCTGGCAGTAACGTTTTCAACATGGTCTATATTATCTAACGTCCAAAATAGTGTCACATTGATGCCATATCATTGCACTGCTGGCAGCAATGCATCATTTTCTCATAAAACATTGAATTTAGTGTTGCTCTAGACCATACTTTCCTGATTTCCAAGGCATGGTCAGGAACAATGCTTTTTATAGAAAAACAGTACCAAACAAGTGAGCATTGCTTGAAGCATTGATTTTTCTGATGTGGCGCCTATGTGGCACCATTTTCTTAGAAAACGACATCAATGCCAAGCATCACCTAACAATTTTCTGGGTTTCTCCACTCGCATAACGCCATACACCGTTGTGTGAAAGCCCTTTCAAACAAAAGAGTATGTTTGGGAGGGCTTTAGCTTTGATTGAACTGCTTTTGAAGAAATTTCTAAAAGTAACTTCATCGGAATGCCACTTTATTGGCTCTATAAAAAGGCATTTGTGCTTTCTAAGCTTTTCATCAAACATAATTTCTAGCATTGAGAGATAGGCCCCACACATAAAGCGGTGAAACTGTGAAACCGTGTTTGATAAAAGTCAGGAAAGCCAAAAATAGGCCTACGTGAGCCAAGAAATCAATCAATGTTAACCATCCCAAATGGGTCCTACTTCACAAGAAAGTTGATTTTTCAACTGTAAGCATCTTTAGGCCGTTCAAATTTTCACAACATAGATTTATGACTTTCCATGGGCCTACAGTCTGCCGTACAATGGAAAAAGCCAGCCCTCCTAACTCACAAGCATGTTTTGGATTCCACTGAACAACAATAGATTTTACTGACATGATTTTGAAAACCGGACCGAATTATATGGTTGGATTGGACCGGTTGACCTAAGACGAGATCATGGATTTGGGTCTGGTTTTTGGACCCAAAACCGTCTAGGTTGGGCTGTTTGACATAGGAATTGGTGGTCAAAGCAGTTCCGTTTTTTTAGTTTTTTTTTTTTTAACCATGATTACTAATATAGAAATGTGTAATGTGTTGTGAGAAGTGTGGGTAGTTTCTTGTGGGACAAGGTGGACGAGTCTCCAACTGTTAATCGGTTCTATATAATAGACTTAAGACAACTAATTAACCAATTATTTATTAAGTTAAACAAAACTAACATGATTATAAATGACATATATAATTAATTACCTATTATAATAATTAGGGATGGACACGGATTACTTGTTGAAAGCTCGATATGGCTCAATTTTAAACGAAGTTTTGAATCAATCTCAAGTCTATGTAAGATAGTTTGCTAATTTAGCTTAAATCAAGCCTATTGAAGCTTCGCTCGTGAGGCTTGCAAGCGTGAACAAGTTTATATTATATATGCATATTGTCTATGATTTCCCAAACCCAAGGCGTCCAAATTGCATTATTAAAGAGCACTTGCAAATAAGTATTATTCATACGTGATATCTGCTATTTGGATTTAATTTTTATAACCCGCATGAAACCCAATACAAGCATATGTTTTATGCAGTATAAATATTTTGCTTGTTGTTAGAGATTTTTTTTTGTTTGAATCATTTATTTATTTGTTTGATGGTTCATTCTGCATTGGTTGCACGTTGGGCCAGGATTTAAAACCATGGTTTTTAAAACCAAATCGTTGATCGAATCAGTCAGGGGTTCGGTTACTGGTTTGAACAGTTTGACTGTTTGATCCGAATGATCAGTCCGTTCTGACAAAAAATACAAAATAAAAAAAAGAAAAATGGTCAAAACCATTCAAACGATTAATCGGCTGGTTCAACGGTTTGCTGACCAAAATCAACGGTTTTGGGAAAAAATAGAACTGATCAGGTGACCAGTTCCCGATTTTTCCGATCCGGTCCGATTTTAAAAACCATGTTTAAAACAATGACTGAGTCATTGGAAGCAACCTATGAGGAGCTCCTATATGTGATAAAGTGAAAAAAGATACTAAGTTAGTTTCGTTACATGTAAGTTGAAGGGGCTAAATAGGAGTGCAAATGGATTGGGTATGATCCAATCCGAGATCCGATCACATTTTGTTGAATTTAGATCTCCCAGTTCAGATCATCGGATTAGATTGGATCAGATCGAATAATAAGATCTGAAAAAAAATCGGATCTGATTTGGATCATCCTATCTGATGGAAGATATTTATAAATACAGTATTTATATTGTATTTTTGTAAATTTATTATATTATTTTTTTATAAAAACATGCTTATGAATCGAATATATGACACTCTTACCAGATTCGAATTCAAATCCATACTTATGAATCGAATCTGTCCTTAATAGTATCGGATGGGATTCGGATATATCCTGTTTCGAATCTGATGGTAAGCAAAAAATAATAAAAATCAAATTATTACACAATGATTTTAACACTCATAACTTGTTTAATTGATTTAACATTAAACAAAATAGAATGACGAAACATAATTTAACCCACCACATGTAGTTGGGATATAATGCTTGAATGACGACGTTGATGAATAGAAACTCTCTAGCACTTTACTCACTCCTAATTAGCTAATGGGGTTAACAATGAAGTTGTATATGAACCATTTCTTTTAAAGCATAGAAGATGAATAATTTGTGTCCCTCCCTGAGAGGAAGCATTGAGAGCTAGGGTTTCAGGCATGGTTCGAACTTCGAAGTATTGATCGCGATATCCTTTCAGCGTGCATATAATGAGTTTCCAAAGGGCAATATTCATTTATTTTTTTAACTTGTTCAGTCAGTCTAGTATTTCATAGACAGATTCGTTAAGGCCTTAGGGGGGATTTCAAAGTCAAAAGGGCAAAATGGTCTTAAAATAGTAATTTGGAGTTTTACAGATTTATAAACCTGCACATGACACTCACATGAGAATATTTCATGTAATTTACCTAAGTTGAGGGTGGTTATATGTAATTTACCCTTTCTTTTATAAGGGAACCATATGATATGGAGTGGTTGATATTTTATAAATGATAAATGATAGGCTTTTCAAATTCGGGAGTCGAGCGAGGCAACAAACAAACAGGACCCTTGGCGGGAAATAAGAAAGCTCACTATCCAAAGTCGAAAGACTCGAAACCAGTCCTGAATCGAATCGAATCGAAGGCCTTTGTACTTTTGTTCTTCCCTGAAGATCTTTTTCCTTTTCCGTTGGTTAATTCGTTTTCCAGTCGCTGAAGTGAATTTCATCTTTACTTGCTTCTTGATTCAGAAGGATTTGCAAAAGAGAGAACACGAACCAGCTCTTCTTCATCAACAAGAATCGTTAATGGAAGGAAGTAAGAGCGAGGCGGTCTTCGAATCCTTGAATCTGAACCCCCAGCTCTTCATCAATGAAGTTTTGAATACGGTTGATGACATGGTTGATGGGGCTTTTGAATTCTACGAACAGTTCATCTTCTTTTCCTTCTTCATTTCAAGCTGTTAACTTTTTTTTTTTTTTTAAATTGAATTCTTTCTGTTTCTCGATTTATTTCTGGACTGCCGGAGTTGAAATTCTCTGTCATTCGACTTCGCGTTTCTACAGGCAGGCATTAACATTTTTGGGCAATGCGGGTGAGGATAAGTCGGTCGAGTTGAAGAAGGTAGCTTCTGTGGCTTTATGCTATTCAATTAAAAAACTGTTCCATTTTTGTTGTTTTTACTTGTAAATTTGAATGCGCCACTTTTTAGGTGTTAAATTGGAAACGTGTTTCTGAGAATAATCACGATATTTTTGTTCAGGTTTTATAATAATTACTTTGAACACCTGTGCATAAAATATGTGAAATAGCAGGTTATCTAACATGCTTGCAGAAGAAACGAGTTACATTAGTCATGAGGAAGAGGTTTTCAATTAAAGATAAATAGTTAAAATTTCAGACGGCGTGGAGCAGCTTCGCTCCCATTTAGGTTGTTGGATGAGTTTGTGTTGCTCTTTCATCTTGATGGGATATATATTATAACTGACGCTAATTCACATCTGTACCAAGGAGTCATAGTGTCACACTTGTATCGGTTACAGGTCAACTTGCTCGAATCCAGTTAACTTTTGAGTCATAAGATATACTAGCCAAACATGATAGTTGAAATGTTTACCTTGGGTAAAGTCATGACCAGGTACTTACACTGATCTCTAAATATATGCTGCCAATAGACATATTCTAGAATTTTGTATAGTTTAATGGAATTGGAAATTCGTAACGGTTCTCTCACTGGCATAGAAGTAACTTCCTGGTTACTGTACTATCTAGTTCAATGGAAAATATCCCACAATATAAGGAGCAAGCTAGCTTAAAAAGAAAATACTCCATTTGGATGTAGTCTCCAGAACTAGTCAATCAACTTGGATAGATCTGATTAGATTTCAAGTTGTCAAATTTAGATGAAGCTTCTACTGAATTTATGTTAGTCTAGGTTTTTAAGCCTCAGGCATGATTGGTGCATATGCGTCCATCTCAAATGGGAGACTACAAACTTCAGTCTGATAACTTCAGCCTATATGTCTTTCTCTCTTCTATTCCTAGGTTTATGTAAAATTAGAGGTAGTTAGGTGAAAATTGGAACTATTAATTTAGTTGAGGAATTAGCCATTTAGTCAATAAGAGAACAAAGCCATGTTCTACTTCTGGAGCTATTGTTCTATAAAAAATTCAGAATTTTTTTCTACTACTTTTGGCAGCACCTAAGATAGAGAGTTAAGCTCATAACTTAGATATTTGCATGCCCAATTTTTTAGGAAAAGAAAAACAAGTGCAAATATCTCTCTATAGATCTACCAGGGACCCGCTTCCAAAACAACATTTATATGCTTTTCTTCTTCAAGCACTGATCCCTGAGAATTTTAAACTTTGTCTGAGCTAATATCTGCCTTGTTTTAAAATTTTTATAAGATGTACTCTATTTGCATTCTTTTGACATGATTTTTCTGTGTAGGGTATTTCCTATATCCGGAATATTATTCAATCAGGGCTGGACAAGCGACTGGATATGTGGGAAAAATACTGCCTCCGACACTGTTTTGTTGTTCCTGAGGGATTCTCACTACCAAAACTTGTATGTTCACATTTCTTGAAAGACTACCATGGCCATGTCTAGTTGTATCCATTTAGGCTTATAATTTACTCATAAGATCATCTTTCATCATTTGAGGCAAGTACCAAGAAAATATTTGTGATAGCTTATGGTGCCATGAAAGAAAAATCACCTTTAAAAACTTTTTGAAGTAAAATTTCTGTTGGAAGTTTTCTGATAGTTCTTTGAATACAGTCCATATCTTAAAACACTGCCTCACTTTGTGGTATTTTTCATACTCTATATCACCATGATGAGATAGACATTGGATACAAATGTTGCTGGATCTATAATATTGGCTTTGGATTGGAGGGGTTGATCTCAGCTTTCTGCAGCTACCTAACAGCAAAAGTCTGAAATGGTTTCCTACTTGCTAAAACTAATTATGGGAAGTGATGTTCTGCAGCAAGTACTACTAGCATCTTTAAGTTGTGCAACCTTTACTCAAACCTGTAATACATATAGAAAAGAGGAATTGCAATAAGTCAGGCATTTGGTCATACTCTCCCCAAAATTTGCATTCATTCATGCCATATATATTTGTCATACTTGTCACAAGATCCTAACTCTTTCATCCAGTTTACTACTAGTTCCTTCACATAAAGGGGAAACTGATTACACATCAAAACAATTAGAAGTGATCCTTTTAAAGGTTGTCTGTTTGGCCACTTGGTTACTATTTACGGATATTTTGAACATTTTCTGATATTAAAAATGCATGGGAAAGAAATCGAGGAAAAGAGATAAAAGGAAAAATGTAAGTGATGCTTTCTGTATTTCAACATTTGATGTATTGGACATATTCTACTTTTTTTCCAATAAAACTCGTGATTTTTTGTCAGTAACTGAACTTATTTTGAAAATCAAGGGGATTTAGAAGAGTGCAAGAGTTTTATATTTCTCTCTTGCACAACTTACCAAACTTCACAATTTTTCTCTCTTGCACAACTTACCAAAATATCTGAAGCAATGGTCATCAGATGTATGTTGTGAACTTTGGTAAGTTGAAAAATTAAGGTTACCTTGTATTCATCTCTGGCTGTTACTCTCTGGAAGACATCAACATCCCCAATAATTTTCAGAGTTTTTGAAAACAAGTTGTTAGGAGGAATAGATTCCCTTCCCTATTCATGAAAGGATATGTACTATATTTTCTCTTCCACAGGGATATATGGCAGTATATGCCCTTCAAGTGAAGCAGAGACATGTTTGACTAGCTTCCAGTCCAAGATATAATGAGATAAACCTAACTTAACACTTCTCTAAATAGTTATCAAGGATAAACAGTCTATAGAATGAAGTTAATAACATTTTATATGGTGCTTGGTTAATCTTGGCTTGCCTATAATGGATATAGATGATTTCATGAGGTATATGACAGCTTGAGAAGATTTTAGACGATATTCAATATTTTAGTTATTTGCACCAACTAACACCCAAAAGGCCATTAATCAATGTCGGTCACCTCATTGGCATTTTCTTTTTTTGCATAAAGTGGACACCCTCAGACTCAAACCTATGTTCTCACGCTTGTCAGCCCAAGCTTTTACCATTACACCAAGTAGTGGCCCCTGTTGCAATATATTAAGGAACTTCCCTTTATGTATGTTTTCTGTGTATATTTTATAGCTAAAGGTTGTTTCTCTAAATGTTATTTTTTTAGCAAGAGTCTGCTGGGGAAAGTACCATGGGCCAAGATTCTCAATGTGATGGAGATCTTGATTCTCAGTTACAATCCTTAAGAGAAAAGCTTTTTGTGGTAATGAACACCATATAATCTTAGTAATTGGCATTACTTTATGTTTTTTCTTTTTCTTTTATCATCTACAATTTTTCTTTCAATGACAAGTGGCTGTTCAGGTGGGAAATGAAGGTGCTGAGCTGTACAGAGAGCTTCAGGAACTTGAAACGCAGTCTGTTCTAAGCAAAAGCTGTGTTATGTCCCTCAAGGAGGCATCACAGCTATTTGAACAAAATTCTGTGAATGATACAGTTAAAGGTACTTATACAGTATTTATGCTGAACTTAAACTGCTATATGAGGTCTGCTTTTTAGTTAAATTATTGAGAAAATATTTCTCTGCTAAGCAACAAGATTAGGTTTTAGGAAAATGATGGACAAAATAACTTGTCCATAGGAAATATTCTGAGATCCTGTAATATCTTTTCCACTTATAGTAGGCCTTGAAGCAGTGTAAAACTGTAAAATTTTAACAGAATTGTTGAAAAATTTGGATTTCATTCCAGTTCTGAGGGTCACAAACATATAAGAAAATTTCATGGGGTTTAGGATTATTTCTTCAGGGCACTAAATTTAAGCTGTTTTCCCCCAGTATGGCGAAGAATGTCTAGAGAGCTGGTGTCTAGAGGATTTGAATAGAGAAGGCAAGAAAACACGGGGAGTTCCAGTTGCAATTTTTTGGGCAATTTGGACAGAATGCAATTCAAATTTACTTGAGAATGATGCTTACCAGGAAGATGAAATGTTAAGAAAACGCTTACCTATGTCTTATGGTTGCCAGTGGCAGTTCTGTCCAGGAATATTGCTTTTCAGAAATTTCTTTTGGTTAATACTTCACTTGGATAAGGGAGGAGCCTGTATTTTTGTTTATTTGTTTGACAGATCTTTTTTTGGATGTGCAGTCACTCAATGTATAGTGTTTGGGAGAAGCTTAGTTTATGACTCTCCCCTTGTTCTCATTTTACTGAATACTTTTCCTTTTTTTAAAAAAAATCCATGTATTTTGGTAACAAGGGAAAATCTATGATACCGGAAAGGCATGGTACTAGAAGAGATGACCAATCAAAGCACCCCCGTGAGTTTGATGAATACCACCTGATTGGTCACCTCTTTTATGACACCGGTTGATTGGCTATAAGTTTTTTCCAATATGATGTGTTTCCAGTATCATAGTCAAACCTTGGTAAACAAATGGGACAAAATAAGAGATAGAGAAGTGAAAAAATAGGAAACATAAGAAAGTAGAGATAAAATAGGCAAAATAGGGAGAACAAAAATAGAATGTCAAATAAAATATTTCCTATTTGTTTTCCCCTATTTTTTTTTCAGAAGATTGAAATATTGACAATATTTCAATAAAAATTCAAAAAACCTAGAATGAAGTAAGACTTGTAAAACTTTAACTTGAAGAGTGTCATTGTAAATGGATCTTCTTCTCATGTGGCTTATAACTTATAAAATACTCCAGATTAAGTATATGGAACTTGGTAGTTTACATTATTCATTTTGTGAAATTACCTTTTCTTGTGGTAATCTTCCTTGCAATTTTATGATGGTACTAGCTAGGACATGGACTTCTCTTGGTAACAACTCATAGTAATGAGTCTGGCTATGACATGAGCTTCTCTTGGTAATAACTCATAGTAATGAGTCCCTTATGCACGCATTACAATCAAATAGCAGAAAAGTCTATGCTTCTTCTAAGACAGAGACTTGGAATGAGCAACTGCATAAGCTTTCCTAGTTCCATTATGAACTTTATACTCATCTGTTATGGTTTTGAAAATTTGATTGCTCTGGAGGTTGCATAAATCAACAAAATATTCTATGGATGTCTAAGATGAGGTACATTTTTCATTAATCCTTGTAATCCTTTACCTTCTTAGGAGGTTATGTTTGACAGTTGGATGAGTTGACTGTTCACATCTCCTGAGTTGCATGGTTAAATCTTTTGCCAAAAGCTGAGAGTTTATTGAACCCCTTATGCAAGACACAGAGCTAATCTGCTTTATGGAACTGGTATTACTTGGTGTTCTCTTGACAATTCATTCAGATGGAGTTTGTAATGGATGAAGCAAGTAGGTTGCTCAATTGTTTCATTGTTTAATCCCCCGGTCCCAACCCAAATTGGGATTGACTGAATTTTATGCAGATTCAACTGTTTGCTAAGATACCCTTAGTTTTGTACTCTAGTCTGAGGTGTCGGTCTTTCTTCAGCATCTTCCACTTTTGGCCCTGCTTTTGACCTTTCATTCCACCAAGTCAATGGAATTGCATTTTGTTTACTATTTCAATTGTAAGTTTAAAACTAAATATGATGGTTCTTCCATGTGATGAAATGTTGGCATCTAACTGAAAGTTTTTGGCTTTATGCAACAGAATTCAATGTTCAGAAATTTCTAGAAATCAATCTTAATATAGACCATTATGTCCTGCAGAAATGGCAAGAACTGCATCTGAACTCCATGTGAAAATGGAGAAGTTGAAGATCAAAAGAATGGAAGAGATTGGACGCTACAGAACAGGGAGGATATACAATCCAGAGAGAGATGAGTCTTTGATGGATCATATCAACGGTAATATATACTTCAGTAAAAACCTTTTCTTGTTTTTGAGGATATTTTCTAGGGGACAAAATCAATAAGCATGTGTTCCTGTGTTAAGAAAATCTTATTTTGGTTTTGTAGGTCTATGCAATGCCAAGTTGGAAGATCTTCAGGAGTTTGCAGCTGACTTGAACATTTAAAGAGAAGACGTATGCTAAGTTACGTTTCAATTTCAGCTAACCACATGTATATTGTGCTTTAGTTCAAGTTGTGTGTGTGTCGAGAAGAAATGAATCAAATCTGTTAATCTTCTACATTTTTATTAATTTCAATTGAGTACTGAAATAAAAATTGGTTTTCCATGAACTTCGATAACAGAAAATTGCTTTCAAAGGGTGAAGAGGTCAAAAGAGTCCAATATAATTCATTAATTTGATTGTGTGTTCGATGCATAACATGCTAGATTCAGGGTATGAATTCTTTCTTTCTGCTAGATTGTACCTGTAAATTTAAGAGCTTCACCATCTGTTCATAAATGAATGGTGATGTTTACCTGTCCAGGTTACACGACAGGTTCTGTTCATTTACAGGGGCTGTAAAAGCTGACGACGTTGAGTTTAAGAAACTCAATGGCAATTGGCAAATGGCAACAAATTAATCATCATGGAAAGTGGAAACAAGTCAAAGAGCGTAAAATTTATTTGAACTTGAGATTTGTGAATTTTGAGACAACTACATCAATGAGAGAAAGCTCTTCCTGGAAGAAGGCTTACAATGTCAATGACTGATTCTCTAAGAAGAGAATCCGGGAAAATTAAAATGAGGAAGAAGTGAATGAAGCAGCAAAAAAACTTTCATGGACAGGGGGTTACAAAAGTGTTAACTTTTATTTGTTCATCCCAGTTGCATCTTTAACAGCATCCACAGCTCCCTGTGCCTTGGCCTTCAATTGCTCACCAGCCTACATGTTTAAAAACGCTAATTCTTAGCAAAATCAAACTAAAGAAAAAAAAAACTTGAATGATACAACATCCTTGCTGTTGATTGTACACAGTACAGTAATACAGCAATACACCTAGTGTTTGGCTGTAACCTGTAAGCTGCACTCTACATATCTGTGCAGTACTGTTTGGTATTGCACATTGTGCAATATTTTGTAACGAAGAAGAGCACAAGATGCAACACCGTAGAGCTCAGGATTTTTCGGTTGCCAGTTAGAAGCACCTCAGCCTCCTCCCATCCCATCAATCTAGACTGTTCACCCAAGCAATGCTGTTTCTGGGTTATGGGCTTTATGACCTTATGGGTGATCATCAATTGAGTGGTCCAATAAGAAGGGTATCCAGAGATTTCCCCCAGTAAATTCAATAATGAGAATAACCTCTTGGCATGATTCCTTGGCAGATTGGGCAGCATTGGCTGCTTTGTCCATCAACCCATCCTTCTGGACCTGTTTGGCAAGGATCATCAAACCAATCACTAACATCATCAATCGATTATATAGAAATAGAAGAAATCACCCTAAAAAAATGAGAACATCATCTATCATGCATCATTCAGGAAATAGGAAAGGTGGGGCTTGCTGACCTGAGCTTGGCCCTTGGCCTCACCAGCTTGGTAGCTAAGGTTTTGAGATGCGTCAGACATCTTTGTTTTCTCCTTCCTTTTGGCTTCCTGGGCAACAATAGACACCAAATTAGCTATCTCCTTCGACGATTGATGCAAAACCAAGCAATGGCAGAAGGCTTTATAGGTTGTACCTCCAGGCCCTTTGATGGACACGTGTCATGGATATGTAATCAAACCATGACAAGTGGCACTGCCTTAAACATCTAGCAGAAATTTCAGTCCTTTGACAAGGATTTGTTAGAAAGATTCTTACAATTCAACCTTCAAATGCAGTTCCAAGTTTCAAGGGGAATTTGACATTTTCGTTGCGCTTGGGCCCCAAACAACCTGTTGAATCAGGTAGTTTGTCAATTCTAATGAGGCTTAAAAGAGGTTCGAGACCCGGGTTCGATTATTTTGGATTTGGATGATCTGTTTATATAAGGAGATTGGATTGGAATTTAAAAATTACATCTAATCATTAATAATCAGATTAGATGGAGATCTAACCTTGTTTAATCCAAGCAAGATTCAAGATCCAAGTCTAATTAAACCTTATTTAACATGATAAAAATTCTATGTGTGTACGTGTGTGCGTATGTATGTATGCATGTTTTTTTTTTAATTTATATGATAAAAGCGATTAATTTTTTATATATTTTTATAAAAATGATGGGACAGATTTGGATTGAATCAGAAAATCAGAAGTTCAAGTCACATTCATGATTAGGGTTGCAAATTGAGTGAGCAAGGTTGAAAATATTGACACAGTCTGATAGCTGATACTTGGTAGGGGTGTATCAAGCTTTATCAGCCCTCACTCCCCCTTTTTTTAGTTTTTTTAATGAACCTGGTTAAGAGGGATCGGTCTAAGGCCTTTCTACCTAGGGGTGCTCATGGTTCGGTTGTCGTGGGGCTTTTTTTTTGGAACGAACCAGTATTATCGATTTTTGGAAAACTGGTAACCGAAACTGAATCGAAGCCAGTCGGTTAATTGGTCGACCGATTCGATTCATTGGTTTTTTAATTTTATATATATATATATATATAATAGAAATATATGTATACCGGTCGGTTCGGTTAACTGCCAACTGGTTCGATTAATCGATTTTTTGATTCAATTTCGGTTGATTCAGTTTTTCGATTTTTTTTGCTCACCCCTACTTCTACCCCATCAACTGGGTTAAACCCCAAAAGATCCCCTGTAGGGGTATATCGGGAGACTTCCAATATGATACGTATCGGACCATATACATATTGGACAACACGGTCCGATACGTATTTGATCCTTGGTAAGGATTGAGCATTTGCTAAATTTTGAACGTAAATTCTTCGGATCGGATATTGACTTGCACCCCTATTCATGACCCCCTGGTTATGATCGAATTCTGATCAAATTCAGATTAGTTTTCGAGGTTACTAGGTTTTATCCTAATGGGACTCAATTAGAACCCTTTCTCATTGCACTTGTCAGTATAAATGACAACGGGATTCTGAAAACCAAGAAGATTATGCACTTTTCTTCTTGTCCCATTAATTAAGTATTGAATTTAACCACTATATATGCTACCTGCTTCTTTTGATCATGAAAATTGTAGTTTTTATTGAGCTAGCAACTTAATTTATGCGCATCAGCCATATATGTCAATTTATGGATCAGAGAGAGAAGAACAGATGATTTAAGCATCGTAATTGATTGGGATAAGACATGGATGATGATGAATATCAATCCCATAATGGCCAATGATCTTTATCTAAGCGGGGAAGACCGGACACTGTAGATGAAGTTGATGCTCACAGGGGAGGAGTCTCATAACCATACTCTCATAGTGACATACAGGAGTCTCATCATAATGAAGTTAGTGCTCAAATTCCAGCGACATAATGGCAACTCCCTTTCATGCTGAATCTGAGATCTTTGGTATTAGTTAGATTCATTTCGTTTATTTTTATGTTTGTTCTATTTCTGTCCATACTTCTCAGAAGAGGCTTAACTGTTATCAAAGAACCAAGCAAGTTGCTCTGATCTGTTAAATGTAAGGACTGAGGGTTTATATGGTTTGACATGATGAACCATGTGTTGATTTCAAGTGAAAGGGGTTCTATTCCTTCTCCTCAATGACAGTACATTTTAAATCTAGCCATGCTGTATGAAGTAGAGTTGGGTAAGAAGTAATATATCCAAAAAAAATGTATGTGTCAGAATTTTGAATGCTCAAATGAATGAGTGATAAAATGAGAAGAAAAAGTAGATTGAGATGGTTTGGTCTTGTACATAAAAACAATATACAACACCTGTTTAGAGAAGTGATATATTATAAGTCGAAGGTGTTTGAAGAGCCGGGCACAGACTGAAAAGGACTCGAATGGAAATAGCAAGAAATGATTTACATGCTCAAAACTTAACAATAATAGTTATGACACTGAGTCTGTTTTTAGTTGCAGTGTAATTTTATTTGCATTAATACAAATGCATGGGAGTGCAAATGAAAAAGAAAAATGCAAGTTCTGATTTAATTTTGTTTTGGGTTGTATTTTATTCTGCTTCGAGTCTTATTTTACTTCATTTGTGTTGCAATCAAACAAGATAAAATCAACTTTGAAATAAAAATAAATCATAATTTACACTAAAATTATTTATACTATCATAGTTTTGCACCAGTACAAATAAATTTGTATTGCAACCAAAAACAGCCTGAATAGAATACGTTGGCTAAACAGGATCCATGTAGCGACCACATATAATTGGGATAATGAAGTGACCAGAAATTTTATTAAAAACAAAGGACAATGAAAGTACACTTCAGAGTTGATAAATTATTCTTCATTTCTTAAGAAATTGAGTGCACTAAAAAATTACATTCTTCAGTTTTATATAGAGTGCTTGTCCAAATAACTGACATATTAGAAACTTCACAATACGCATATTTTGTTACGTACATATTTCAGTTAAGAATCCAATGAGTCGTTGATCACTTAAGGAGGTACTTGGTATAATGGTGTCATGTTTCCATTGTGTTTTGAGTTGATCAATACAATTGTAAAGAAAATTTTCTATTTGAAATGCTTTTGAAACTGTTAAATTTGATATTTCTCATACAGATTTTTTAGTTGAAATGACACTTATATATGATGTGATAATACATATTTCTCACAAATTTGTATGATTAACCCAAAACACAACAACAATGCAATGCCATTATACCAAATGCCCCCTTAATTGTTTTAACTTTGCAAAAGAAAATCTATGTGACGTGTGTTGCGTGCTTGTTTGAAACGAGAGCAGCCCGATGGATTTATATTATTTAGAGAACATTTTTTTTTGAAAGATATTAAGGGACCGTTTGGTTTATAGTCAGAATCAGAATCAAAATCAAAATCCTTTGCAATCGAATTGGAATGATCTATTTTATAGTCTGTTCGGTTTAAACAGAAAATAGGATCGGAATTGAAATAAGCTGAAATGGGATTTCATTCCCAAGGGAAGGGAGGAGAACCTCAAATTGGAGAATGTCATTTCAGCAGGAATAAGAATAGGATTCTGATTCCACCCAACCAAACAGCTAGAATCGGAATGCTCCTTTAAATTCGGATTCCAGACCCCTATTCCCGTGAACCAAATGCGCGCTAAAAGCTCGGATATCACAACTTGATCCATATGCGCTTATAAAATTCGTTTTGTTTGCTTTTACCTCAGGATAGAGAAGTTTGGATAGAGAAAATTATAGTGGGTTTGGTGGGTTTCTTCCTCTGAGTTCACATATCTCATCTAGCATTATCATATATAGCTTGAAAGCATGAAAAAAATAAATTTTAGAGGCATAGCGGTTGATTGGATGAAATGGTTGGTAAGTAATTCACATACATGGATTTTGATAGGATGCATTAGAAATGGAATTATGGCTCTGTTTGGGAAAATGCAAATACAAATACAAGGTTTAGAATAATACATGTGAATTGTATACAAGATTTTGCACTGAATATATTTGTATTTGCACTCTTCCCAAATGGAGACTACGGAAACATGGAAAAGGCATATAAACTATTGTTGAGTCGTGCCTTGAATTCTGTTAGGTTAATATAATCTTCTAAATTCTAATAAGATTAAATGAATACTGAGAAAAAAATGGTTCTCCATGAACTATGAAAACAGAAATTTGCTTTTAAAGGGTGAAGGGGTCAAAGGGTCTATGATGCATAACGTCCTAGATCGATCCAGAGTATGAATTCTCCCTTTCTAAGAGCTTCACCATCTGATTATAAATGGATGGTGATGTTTCTGTCCAGGTTATATTAATATGACAAGTTCGGTTCATTTACAGGGGCTGCAAAAACTGATGATGTTGAGTTTGAAAGTTGAAACCCAATTACAAGTGACAAAAAATTATCATCATGGAAACAAATCAAAGAGCGTAAAATATTTTTGAACTTGAGTCTTAGCTTGTGAATTTTGAGATTAACTCCATCCATGAAGGAAAACTCTTCTTGGAAGAAGGCAAACAGAGTCATGACTGGTTCTCTAAGAAAAGAATCCAGGAAAATTAAAATGAGAGAGAAGTGATCAATGAAGCAGCAAAAACCAACATCATGAATGAATGGTGGTCACATAAGTGTTGCTTTCATTTGTTCATCCCGGTTGCATCTTTAACAGCATCAACAGCTCCCTGTGCCTTGGCCTTCAATTGCTCTCCAGCCTACATATTTAAAAGGGATAGATATTAGCAACATCAAACCAGAGAAAAAGCATGAATGATACAGACGAACATCCTCTGTACTCTACATATTTGTGCAGTGCTGTTTGGTGTTGCACCTTATGCACTAGAATATGTAACTAAGAAGGGTGTCTAGCTAGGGGTTTTCCCCCATCAAATTCAGTTTATGAGAATAACCTCTTGGCATGATTCCTTCGCAGATTGGGCAGCATTGGCTGCTTTGTCCATCAACCCATCCTTCTTGACCTGTTTGGCAGGGACAGGGTCATCAAAATCAAACCCATCACTATCATCATTAATCAACTATATATATCAGATGTCATCCTAAAGAAAATGAGAAGATTATCATCCATCTATGTTTTCTCCTTCCTTTTGGCTGACCTGAGCTTGGCCCGTGGCCTCACCAGCTTGGTAGCTGAGGTTTTGAGATGCGTCAGACATCTATGTTTTCTCCTTCCTTTTGGCTTAATTCCTGGGCAACGGTAGACACCAAGTTAGCTATCTCCTTCGACGATGCAAAACCAAGCAAATGGCAGGAAGCTTTATAGGTTGTACTTCCAGGCCCTTTGATGGACACGTGTCATGGATAGCTATCAAACCATGACAAGTGGCACTGTCTTAAACATCTAGCAGAAGTTTCAGCCCTTTTTTTTGACAAGTGGCCCTTTGTTAGAAAAACTCTTACAATTCAGCGTTCAATTGTTGTTCCAAATTTTAAGGGGAATTTGACAGGTTTCTCTTTGTTTGTTTGTACCTTCCACAAACGAGATAGAATGTTAAAGGTTGGGAGAATGACCGTTCAGTACACCCTAAGAATTTTTAGTTTTATAGTACAGTTGGGGTAGGTTACAACTCAAAATTGATGCCAATATACGGGTGGATATTGATGTTTTAGGGTAGGGGTGTTTGTCATTTGTGAATTATATAGGGTTATAATAGGATTAAGAATTCTGCAGTGTGGTGCAGTATACTTTTCTGGTTTCTTATACTTGGACCCCAGCAACCTATCGAATCAGGAAGTTTGTCAATTGTCATGGGGCTGTCAACACAGTAAAAAAAGTCTAATTAAATTGTATGAATGTATGTATGTATACATACACATAGTATGTATAAGATGAGAGTTATTAATTTTAGGGTAAATCTCTTAAACTACCCCTATTGTTCACAAAATTGACAAACTGTACCCTTGTTGTTTATATATCGTCTTAAAGTACCCTTAATTTTTTTGACAATTGTCTAAAACCCCCATTGCTGTTAATTTTCTGTCACACTCCATTCATATGTGACATCACGTGAGTGGTAATTATTTTAAAATTCTTAAAATACCCTTATTGTTCACTACTGCTGTTAGAAGTTACAACGATGGCAGTGATTTTGGTATCGTTGTCGCAAGCTACAACGACCATTGCAACTTTCGAACGACAAAAGTTTGGTGATCACACAACACTAATCAATACCCACCCATTCACTGCAACAGATCTGAACACTGGTTTGGATTTCCAACGCCTTGGGAAAATTGGAATCTTCCGTGCTTATCTTTTTTTTTCTCCTTTGATTTTTGTTTATACGGACGGATTCAAGGACCTTTGTCCTTCGAGTTTGAAGGTCGGCCATGACTAGCGAGGAGCGAGGGTAGGAACCAAAGCAAGAATGCCTTTACAAGACAAAGGTAGTACAGAGCAAGAATGCCTTTACAAGATTTGTCTTCTGCCAACCAGTTCAGAAAGTATATGTTTTTGGCTTTATCCTGCGAATCTGGTTCAATCTCACCAGGAAAAACGAAGCCATCATCTCCACCCTGAGATCAAGCCTCGAATAGATTCTATTGCAAAACAAAACAGAGCAACATAATTTAGAGATGCAAGGAATGCTGTTGTTCTTTTGTATCACCGTGAAATGGCGAAAGATTCCATTTGAAAAAATACAGGGTACTGTGATAAGAAATTAAATCACACACCATTTTGGGTTCTGAAGGAGGGTCGGGGAAGGATAGGGTGCTAGAGAGGGCAGCTTACTCCTGAACCTGGGTGGCATCAAAGCATACAACCCCACAAGGCCAACACCACACGAAATGGCACGGTGTAAAACCCAATGGCAGCAATCAAACAAAGCACCTGAACAAGAAAGTGGCTCATGGATCTCTACAAATGTTTGTATTCTTCCATGCTTCCAATAGCTACTTCGTTGTTGGCCGTAGTGAAAACTAATGAATTCAATAGAATGGTTGATTGATTTATCACTGACCATCAGGGGTTTAAATACAAGTTACAAGATAACTCTATCGGTTAGGATAGAGATCAAAGGATAACTCTATCTGACATAGAGTTTGAGATATACAACAACTCCATGAGGATAATCCTGATCTAATTGGATTACAAGAGATAACTCATGCAAGAGTCACATAAATACTGGGAACTCTAACACACACCCTCAAGCGATGCCATGCTAGCAAGGGAGAGCTTGTCACGTAAGGTAGTGAAGCGTCGAACATGAATGGGTTTGGTGAAGACATCAACTGTCTAATCAATTGTGTTGAGAAAACGGATCAATGACGTTGAACCTTATCCCGAATAAAATGAAAGTCTAGCTCAACATGTTTGCTGTAGGAGTGATGAATGGGATTGGATGCTAGGTAAGTAGCAACGATGTTGTCACACCACAGGACTGGAGAGGATGTAGGTGAGAAGCCCATTTCACGAATGAGCATTTGCATCCAAATGAGCTTAGCTGCAAGGATGGCAAGGGACCTATATTCCGCTTCCATACTTGATATGGAGATGGTGGAGTGCTTCTTGGAGGACTAGGAGATAAGATTAGGCCCATTCTCCTTCTCCATCAGCCCACTCTCTTGCAAATTCCCTAGACATCTCTTCTACACAATCCAGCACTGCTGCTCCCACTGCACCATCAGGTCCATTTGCCTCTCCAGCTTCGGCTTTGGCTCCTACTCATGGTATGCAGACCAGATCCAAATAACATCTAGAGGAGAAGACACACTAGTTGACGAAGGAGGGTGAGGTAGGCGATGAGAGTTTCCGCATGTGCAGGAAGAGCAGAAAATTGAAGTGGACTTGGAGTCGATCAGTAAGTTGTGCTACTAGAGAATTTGTTGTACAACGCGTTTATGAGGATGCAAAAGATGCTTGTGCCAGCCATCAACAGTAGTACGTACCCCCAAGAAGGCCACAAGTTCCTTATTCGAGCAACTAGATGGAGAAACAGAGAGTTGATAGGGGCCATCCTTAGTCGGCCCTGAAAGGAGAGGAGTCCCCCGAATTTTGTCCTTCACAATAAAACCAGAATCATCAAACTCAAAAATAACATCATTATCGCGGAAAACCTGACGAACGGATAGCAGATTTTTTGTGATAACAGGCACATGAAGAACATTATTTAAATGCAAGATACGGGAAGGGGTGTGAAGTGAAGTATGACCAATATGTTTGATGTCCAAACCAGTCCCGTTACCCACATCTATTTTGTCAGTGCCACTGTAATCAGACTGAATAGAGAGATTGCCGAGATTTGTTGTAAGGTGATTTGTGGCACTGATGTCTAGGTACCAGTCGCCATTAGAGGAACTAGAGGTGTTAGAAACAACAAGAGCATTAGACTAAGTGGTATTACCAAAGGCTTGACAACTGAGATCAAAACAGTGAAAGCAGGAAAGAGCAGAGTAGCTGACCTTGCCACAGACCTGGCAAGTCACCTTTGGTTGAGACTGGGTGGTACCATTGTTATGGCCCTTACCTCGGCCACGCAAGGGTGGGTTGTTGCTACGACCGCCACGATAGAAGTTGGGTGGTCGAACGCTTGGTTTGTAGACTACTACGTTGGTGGAGAGCTGCATGTTAGAGATAGCAAAATGCTGGCGGTTGAGCCCGAGTTCGAACTGAAGTAGAAGGCTGTGAAGTTCCTTGATAGATAAGGGGTCATGTCTAGTGGTAATGGCTGTGACCAACGGGTCGTAATCTGGCCCCAAACCTCCCGTGGTATAGAGAATTATGTCATCTGAGGAGAGCCTGAGTTCGAACCTTTGTGGAGGTGATGAAGGTCATTCTTTAGTTGCATGATCCTGGCTTGAGAGGGAGAAGTATATACTCGAGTTAGAGTTGTCCAAGCCTCGTGTGAAGTACGATAGCCGACGACTTGAGCCAACGCACCTTTTGTTAAAGTCAGAAGCAACCAGCTGAGCAACAACTTGTCCTGGATCTGCCAGGAGGTGAATGCGGGATTCATAGTTTTGATACCAAAGATATCTGTTGTATCATTGATGTATTGTGGAAGACATTTGTTTGAGCCATAGAGATAGCCGAACAAGCCGAGACCTTCAAGCATGGATTAGTATTGAGCTTTCCACAATAAATAATTGTGTTTGTCTAATTTGACGGAAATGAGATTGGCAAGATTGCCAAAGGGTGAAGGAAAAGGGGAGGAGAAAGAAGATGGGTTGCCGGCCATGGCTCTGATACCAAGTGAAAACTAATGGATTCAATAGAATGGTTGATTGATTTATCACTGATCATCAAGGGTTTAAATACAAGTTACAGGATAACTCTATTGGTTAGGATAGAGATCAAAGGATAACTTTATTTGAGATAGAGTTTGATATATACAACAACTCCATGAGGATAATCCTGATCTAACTAGATTACAAGAGATAACTCATGCAAGAGTCACATAAATACTGGGAACTCTAACAGCCATAGATTGCTGTTATACATGGTTGATTATCCAAGACGTGGTATCCCCGTCGTGAAGTGAGACTTCAAGATTGAATCCGTGAACCAAACCTTGAAACCACCTTGGATTCAGATATTCTACTTCTATGAACCAAACCATCCTCCGTATTTGATCCTCTGTCCAGACTTAATGGCCAGGCCTGTTACTCTTGAATAGACGAAGGTCGTACGAAGGTCTATTGCCAACCAGTTTAGAATGCACATGTTTTCACTTTATCCTGGTGAAAATGAACCAGATCTAATTCTCGATCATCACTTGTCTCACTTTCACTTCTAGCTCTATGTTCTAGCGGTTGTGTAGTCGTCTCAACATCGGTTTCATCCTCCAATCGGGTGTCCGACGCCTGAGACAATTTACTGTCGTTGTCCACCACAACCACAAATGTCTACTGAGACGGGAACTGGAGATGAAGTCCACAACAGAGTAGGCCAAGTTATGGTATCCGACAACCATGACTTCAGTGCTGATGATGCTGTGAACTGGAGGTGAAGTCCATAGCAGAGGGAGTCCACTTTTGGTCGGGAAATATCGCTGCCGCCACGATATGATTTTGGGTTTATTTTTTCATCAGTTGGGTTTTATTTTGAAAATTTGATGAATAGTGAATGGCAAATTCAATAGTTCATTTTTTCCGTTAGTGTTTACCGACATGTCAATTGTTAGAAAACTTAATGATAGTTTAAGACAATAAGTAAACA